GCCACCACCGCCTGGAGAGCCAGAATATTTTTGTTAGGCAGTTTTATGGTTTTTGGTGAGTATGTTCGTGTGTGTACACATTCGGTGTTCAAATAAAGGGCAAAGGTCAACACAGATGCTCCCCATCACTCTCTACAGTTCTTTTCTCATTCACAGCCACTCATTCAGCTAGACCTAACGGCCAGCAGGCTCTAAGGACCCGGCATCATCTTGGGTTCTGAAGGACCCAAATCAATTCTTCATGAGCTTTGTTTGCAAGCTCTTCACCAACTGGCTTTGTTTAGCCTTAATTTCAAAATCATAAATCTGGACATGAGGGAGAACCAGGAAATAATGGTGCCGAAGAACTCCAGGAGAGTAGGGCTGATGGGCACTCTGAGAAGATGCTCCTGTCATTTCTGTAGTTAGGGATGCTGTGGTTAAGTAAGCAGTGTCACTGTTGGCAATGCTGATGGGTTTTGACGTTCCTGGACTGGAAGCCCTCCATGGCTCCCACAACATTCTCACCTTCTGTCACTCTGACAAAGCATATGTTACCATCAGTCTTGCCAGAACAGATGAAAAAGCCAGTGTTTAGTGTGAGCAAGATGCCTCCAGGGCCTGCCTGTGACAAGGTCAACTTTTCACCACCAGATGTTTCCTTGTAGATAGTCCAACATCTGTATTAGTCAGAGTTCTCCAGAAAGGAGAACCTTGGCAGGGCACAGACATTTCTATTAGTTATATAAAATAGAGGGTGTGGTGGTACATGCCTGAAAAAAAACAGCATTTAGGAAGTTGAGGCAAGTGGATCAAGAATTCAGAGCCAACCCTGGGCTACCTACTAGTGGATTTGAGGCCTGTTGTTTTAACTTTGGCTGCATCTTAATCTACTGCTACCGCAGCCAGCAACTGCAACTCCGAAATTACCACCCTGCTTCTCTACCAGCATCCTGGCCACTCCGGCCCCCCAGCCTAGTGAGGATTCTGCTCCCACAGGCACGGGCTCTGTCGCTGCCACTAAAGGTAACTTTAAATCTCTATCATTCTAATTTTGAATAAGACTGGAGATTCAAAGGCTGCGGTGAAAACCTGCCAGCTCAGAGAGGTTGAGTAGC